GATTCTGACATACTAGAAGTTCACCCTATATTAGAACTGATTCTGACATACTAGAAGTACACCCTATATTAGAAATGATTCTGACATACTAGAAGTTCACCCTATATTAGAAATGATTCTGACATACTAGAAGTTCACCCTATATTAGAAATGATTCTGACATACTAGAAGTTCACCCTATATTAGAAATGATTCTGACATACTAGAAGTTCACCCTATATTAGAAATGATTCTGACATACTAGAAGTACACCCTATATTAGAAATGATTCTCACATAATAGAAGAAATGATTTTCAAATATGAGGGGGAAAAATATTTAATCAAACCAATGAAATTTACACAATAACAAATCTTGATTGATGGCCCTAATGTTGGCCGTCTCAAGGAACACAATTTTAACCTGCCTTATTGATTGCATTCAAATTCAAATTTAGTTCAAACTGAAAACAAAATCCAGAGTTGAAACTTGATCATGTCTTTTGAAACACTTAAAGTGCTAAGCAATATTTCATTTTTTTTTCTTTCTAACTAGTAATAGACTAGTGACAGTATTAGACATGGGTTAAAGCATTAGGAGTGCCATTGAGGCTTCACTGCTTTGTAATGGCTAGTTTGATCATTGTTCAAGATCAGAACTACCAAAGTAACATCAAATAAAACATCAGTTTAGAATTACTCCTCTGTGATGAAAAAATAATGTTTTTACTCTCATTTTGTTCTGATTATAACGATGTTCCAGAAATACAGATAATATTTCTTTCGTTTTAATGAAAATGAAGACAACAGGGCAGTCTTTGTATTGTTCTGTTTTCCCTCGGGATCTAAGATTACATTGATAATGTCTAATGTGTAAAATTTTCAGATAAAAGGAGTTTAACATTGAAGGTATCTTTTCAAACAACAGACGATAATGGGTTGTTCATTTTAATAAAAAATCAGTGAGGAAAGAATGAGATGATAATGTCAAGTGTTATACAGATGTTTCATACTGGTAGTACTGTGTTATACACTGTCTGTACCTCAGCTGGTTTTACTGTGTTATACAGCTGGTTGTACTGTGTTATACAGCTGGTTGTACTGTGTTATACAGCTGGTTGTACCTCAGCTGGTTGTACTGTGTTATACAGCTGGTTGTACCTCAGCTGGTTGTACTGTGTTATACAGCTGGTTGTACTGTGTTATACAGCTGGTTGTACCTCAGCTGGTTGTACTGTGTTATACAGCTGGTTGTACTGTGTTATACAGCTGGTTGTACTGTGTTATACACTGTACCTCAGCTGGTTGTACTGTGTTATACAGCTGGTTGTACTGTGTTATACAGCTGGTGGTACTGTGTTATACACTGTACCTCAGCTGGTTGTACTGTGTTATACAGCTGGTTGTACTGTGTTATACAGCTGGTTGTACTGTGTTATACACTGTCTGTACCTCAGCTGGTTGTACTGTGTTATACAGCTGGTTGTACTGTGTTATACAGCTGGTTGTACCTCAGCTGGTTGTACTGTGTTATACAGCTGGTTGTACTGTGTTATACAGCTGGTTGTACCTCAGCTGGTTGTACTGTGTTATACAGCTGGTTGTACTGTGTTATACAGCTGGTGGTACTGTGTTATACACTGTACCTCAGCTGGTTGTACTGTGTTATACAGCTGGTTGTACTGTGTTATACAGCTGGTTGTACTGTGTTATACACTGTACCTCAGCTGGTTGTACTGTGTTATACACTGTCTGTACCTCAGCTGGTTATACTGTGTTATACAGCTGGTTGTACTGTGTTATACAGTTGGTTGTACAGTGTAATACAACTGGTTGTACCTCAGCTGGTTGTACTGTGTTATACAGCTGGTTGTACTGTGTTATGCAGCTGGTTGAACTGTGTCATACAGCTGGTTGTACTGTGTTATACAGCTGGTTGTACTGTGTTATACAGCTGGTGGTACTGTGTTATACACTGTACCTCAGCTGGTTGTACTGTGTTATACAGCTGGTTGTACTGTGTTATACAGCTGGTTGTACTGTGTTATGCAGCTGGTTGTACTGTGTTATACACTGTACCTCAGCTGGTTGTACTGTGTTATACACTGTCTGTACCTCAGCTGGTTGTACTGTGTTATACAGCTGGTTGTACTATGTTATACAGCTGGTTGTACTATGTTATACAGCTGGTTGTATCTTTTAAATCATTTTGATACTTTGGACAAGTTTGAGTTTCAGAGCTTCTCAGTTAAGGTCAATTACTGTTTTTTTTAATTGATATAAGCTTGTTAGCAGCTCTATTCCTTACAGTATTTTGATCAAATCTCAGGCACATACTTACAAAGGACCAGAACATATCATTACTCATTGGTGATGAAGACTGTATTTTAGTATTTTGAGATTGTCATCTTATTTATTGCATTGATCAATTATAAGTAGTTACAGAATAATTGTATACTTTCCCTTTTTTTCCAAATTACCTCCATCAGCACCGTCTTGATAAATATTTACAGTGTAATAGCGTTTTTGAAATAAAACATCTCATTGAGGCAGATGATTACATATCTGAAAAAAAACCCAACAAACTTTAAAACAATGAAAATCTACAAAAATTTCTGAAGGAAATAAATGAGATCCTAACAAAATCAATGGTGTTATTTAAATGTACTTCTCCTTAGGAACTGACATATCTCACAGGATGTTATAGCGTTTGTAAACAGTGGTGATAGGCTGGAGATACTACATACCCTAGGACAGATGTGTAGTAGTGCCCCGTGTAGTTTGTGTGTGGCTTACCTACCCTGCAGTCAGCTGCCTGAAACTGTTATATTATAGAGCAGTGTCTACCCTGTCAGGAGATCTGTTACTTTGACTGTATGGTACAACAGTTTCCTTTGAAGACAAAAGCCCAGGAATCAACTTAGAATGGATTTGTGAGACATATAATGGTAATTTGTGGGAGTTGACATTTTCTGGTGAAAACAAGTCATTCATCATTAGGATACGGTTGTTTTTTAGTACGACACACCAGACAGAAGTAACACTGTTCAGATCACTCCTTACACTGACTTCTGTACAGTACCTTTAAAGGTCTAATACAGATATATTTTGTTGGGTTGTTTTGATGTATGGTGTAATGCACCGAGGATGCAGAGATACAGAGGCAGAAACACCCTACCATTGTGTGTCACGTCCCACTAAGTGAATTATGTTGACATCCGGATGTAAAAAGTGTGTATATTACGAGTACTTAACATCCTATCAGACAGAGAGTGGAACCTGGCTACTTATATATAATTACGATGGGGCTGATTGTGTACATGTGAATGTGAGAGTATGGATTTCTGCCAGAATATCAAGTAACTTGCCTGATTTATGAATGAAAGTCTATTACACACTGAAACGGCGTTTATGTGTAGATCGTGTGTCACAACATATCACCATGATCCTATGGTGGACAGGTGCCGTTACCTATTGTTTAGTTTTTGTATTAATAATATTTACCAATTTTGACAATCAACACCCCTATTGTTGGAGGCAGTTCAGAACAATGAGGTTCTTCTAAATAGGTAGTTCGGTAAGGATTGTGGATAAATGTAACAGGGACTACACCCATCATTATTTGTGCCTTTTATTGTCAACCCGACTGTTAATGTAGAAAACTGAGGTGTTGATTGGAGTTCATCATTTCCAGACAAATTGTAACCCGACATCTGCATAGTAAACCATCTAGGGATTGCCATTGTCAGTTTCCAGTCAACATTAGTAAATTTTTGAAGCAGATTGTTCATCTGTTAGACTTGTACATATATAATGAATCCAGCCATTAAAAAAAAAAAAAAAAGGCATGTGATTACGTAAAGTGAAGTGATTTCTACATAGTTGGACAACTTATGGACTAATTAGTTGAAGTGGAGGATATTGCTTCGTTTAGAAAAATACTCGGTCTAGTAGCTCTGGATGTTTTAAGGCATAGACAGTCTGCAAAAACGCAACATTAATTACTGAAGAGACAACCTTGAGGATATCGATGGATGTGTTAGTTTTAGATTGAATATTTAATGTAAAAGAGTTGTTAAAGAAGCATTCACTAATTGAATAAGGTTCAACCTTGAAATGGAGAGCTTTTTGTTGGACAACATTTATGTGGAGAGTGAGCCTGGTATTGGAGATTACCAGCAATGATCTAAGAACCAATATTGTGGGAGAGATCGGGGGAAGCTGCTTCACCGCTACTAAACCTGGTATTAGCTGCTATTGATTGTAACACTGGAGCCAAGGTTTGAAGTATAGATATTGCCCTACCTCCACTAGTCAGCCTGCACTGCCAGCCACATCTCTCCTGATGACTTCGCCTTTAATAATTCATTTCTGGACTAATGCTTTCAACTGATACACTATTACAAGGCTGGGTTAAGAAGCTTACGTTACAGTTGGCAGATAGATTTTAATAATTTCAGGAAAAGACATTTGAGTATGAACGGTTGGTGTGAAGATTCAATACATCTAAGTGGGAGAATGGATGGTAACACATGAAACACTGGATATTGACTGATATTGATAGTGTGCCTTGTCACTGAGGTTTTATGGGATTCCAGGCAACACAGTCACATTCTCTAGCTAGTCACTACATCTCTCTCTGTTGGAATAAAAGCAGATTCTTCAACAGATACAACCTGCTGATGGCTGGACATAACTATGTGTGGACTCGATGACTCTCCTCCTCACAATCACATGGGGGACACAGATTTCTTGGCAGCTGCAGTGGCTGGAAAGCTCACATACCAAATATTGATATTGTGATTTGGTAGTCCTTGAAAGTTTTATCACAATAGTTGTTTCCAAAGAATCATGGAATAAAGGTATCAGTTTGTAAATAATTTGGACATTTGGAATGTGAACTAGTTTCCATTGAATGCTGGTGTTGTTATCCTTACCAGCACTTTATTGATGATAGCCAGACTTCACGGTGACCATTTATTGTGTACAAGTCTTATTAGTTGTTTTGTGTGAATAACTGACAATGGTGATACAGGAAGGGACAATTGTGGATGATGGTTTCCAATTCTATAAAATTGTGGACAACTATTACTACATGTTGGTAGAGGTGAGTTTCTATATTTTTTAATTTTTTTTATCGTTTTTTTTTTTTTTTTAGTTAGAATAAGATTATGAACATTGAACTGTTGAGATATATGTGAAAGTTCATTCTGGATCAGAATTCGGAATTTTGGTAAAAATGGTTTGTAACATTCATGTGGTGAAAGAAGTTAATTGAATACCCAGTAATGGTATTTACAGGGAAATAGGATACAAACTGATATACAGTTAAAAACAGCACATCAATCGTTTTGTCATTGTTAAGTTTACTGCCACTACAGAGCTGATACAAAAGTTAGTTTAAAGGTATTTGTTAGAATAATGACAGCTTAATTCTCAAAAGGGACAGATGGTGGAGAATGATCAGTTTTTCTGACCAGTTTTTGTGTTATAAATTTGTAAGACGTGTGGAGTTAAGAGCTGTGGAGGAAGGACACTGTATTGTAATATACTGCTGTTTATAACCTTGTGTTGTGATTTTCTGGATCAGTGAGACCACATGGTTCCTCTCTGCTGGGGTGTTGACATTTCTAACTGGCAGAACACCTGTCCCTTATTGTAGACATGGTTTAGGTGCAGTTACAATTGATCAGGATAGAATTACACCTAGGAACAGATTACGGTTCTAATACTTCTGGTCAGGTATACACCCGACATGTAACAAAGCCAAAATGGACGTTTAAAAGTATTACATGTAGCCACAGTATAAAAAATATCATATACAGGTGTGTTCAATCTTTGTAATTGTTTATATGTGGCACTTCCTGGAGTTTTAAAGATGAAAAATATAATATGTCTGAAACACAAATATTGACAGAAGCATAACCAACCTTTCATAATTAACTAAAGGTCACCAGGTCAGAGGTGAAGGTCACAAGTACTTAACTTTAACTGTATATTGATGTAACATCGTGAGTGTGACACTTCTGACTGTGTCAGTACTCTACTGTATGTGATTAATCAGGAAATGATGCTTGTACATTGGTTTGTTGGGTAATCAGTATTAGACTTCACAGTCCTGGTGTTAAATGAAGACTTGTTAATTAGTGAAACACTCATTAGAGAAATGAAGTCTTAAGTAGCAACCCTAATTAAGGTGGCTAAGAATGTTTTAATTTGATCTCACCTTTAACCACTATGCTCTATAATATTGAGGCTTTAGATTTAACTTAATTGATAAAACTTTTGTAATTTCTCTTATGCTTGACATAAGTTATGTTTTGTGTAATATAGTGATTAGCTCTGATAGAATGATCAGACCTAGTCATTGACCCTAGGAAGCTTTCCACTGTGTTTGATCATTAACATCCAGGCGAGGGGAGGGATCAAACCAACATGTGCAGAATCTTTGTCAATGGAAAGGCCATACAAAAAGAAAGTTTGTCTAATTAATTTGTAATTAGTGACAAGTTTTTTTTCTGCCTTTCTCTCCTAGAAGTACCCTTGTATGCAAATGAACTTTCAGCTACTTCAGCTTCACACATTTGTGTAAAAGTGCATTGAGAAACACTTGGATGTTCTATTTTAAATATTCCTTGAATGTTTTAAACCTCTGAATGTTTTAAACCTTTGAATGTTTTAAACCTCTGAGGAGAGATACACATAGAACTCCCCATCAAACCTTTTCTTCTCTGGCTATCAAACACAGTTTGTGATTTGTTTCCTTATAAAACATCTCAGTTTGTGAGTTGGTGTGATTACTTGATAAATGTCTGGGGTAAAACCTATTCTTGTGTGTTACTCTAAAGCTACATAGCCTAATGATTAATACTGAATTATATTGTTTTGAAGTTAATTCCTACTCCAATGTTCAGTTTTCTTTTTCAATTTCACCCTTTGATTCCATTAACCCCGTTGTTTTTGATAGGTTCATATCTAGCTCTTGCACTGTCATCAGGTAGGCTATTAAACTGTGTCTTAAGTCAATCTGTTTTCTGTCTGTTATCACCGTGTAAAAACAGCTTTTGTTACAGCTATTTCTTGAGAAGTACTGCATGGATTTCCTTAAATTTCATATAGAGTCCTCCCATGGTCCCTAGTTGTGTTGTTAATCCTGGGACTAATTGACTGAATGCAATAGTCTGATAGATTTTGACAATGACAGTTTGTTATCACTATTTCTTTACAAGTACTTGATGGATCTTTCTCAAATTTTATATGTAGCATGTGATTGGTCCTCGGTTGTGCCCGTTAAATCTAGGACAATCCAAAAGTTAACATGGCTTCCAGGCAGCCATCTTGGATTTCTTCAAAGGTTTTATATGAATTTTTTTTTCTAATTTCATATACAAGTTCCTCTCCATGTTCCATAGTGCTGCCTTTCAAATTTTGAATCTGATTATAAAAAAAAACAACAACAAAAAAAAAACAATTCTAGGAAGATTTTTTGTCCATGAAGAATTTTCTACCAATGTTTGAAATGTGTACAAGGAAAAAAATGTCTTGGAAAATAGCGAGGGCTAGCCAAGCATTTTTGGATCAAGGACTCGGTATAAATGTAATTTAATGATTGGTACTTAGCTTTGTAATTAATTGAGTGGTATCATAGTGCTGCTATTCCATGGGCTGTTCACTGATGTAAGGGATAAAAAACACATCCAACTTTTGATATAGATAATAAACTCAATTCACTTGCTTTGGTTGTGATAGTAAATGGCATACCTTTATAGTCAAGGCCAGTTTTGCCACCTGTGAAATTGTTCAAAGAGATCACAACTTGAAATTATGTTTATGTGAGGACTGAGACACTGGCTTGTGTTGGTCTGAACTTTATTGCTGCCTAATGAGAGGACACATAGACATGAATCAGATAGAATCTTGGTTACTTAATACCCTATATTTTACCTTTGATGATTTAGAGAAATGAAGGGTTGACAGATTGCATGATTCATGTAGTCCTGCTTGCAGGTGTCATGTTGTTCAGTTCTTCTAACAAAACCAGTCTCTGTTGTACTTTTAAAAAGGGATTTGAGCTAAAAGTACATGGAAAAAATTGTAATAGCTTTTAACTGGAATGAAAAATGTAATGAAAACTGTAAAATAATTGAACTCAGATTTCTTCTCGTTTTTAATTAAGAGTGTTTCTTTGTTTCTTGATCCCCAATTGATCTGCCGCACATATAGGGGCTCACACAATGTGTTCAGCATGAAATAAAATCCCTTAAAATTTAAACTTTTATACCTCATTAGCATGATCAGTTATTTTGAACATTTTCTCCTTAGAGCGTTTGAAATATTCTACAAATTGGTATCAAACTAGTTATTCCTCAAAGTTCGGCTGTAAATCAATATGTTTGGCAGAATAATGAATTCAGGCTTTTCTCAATAACAAACGTATAATTAGCAGGGAAAGTTGATAATGACTGTCTGTCTGATTTATAGTTCAAGAAGTCTGTCAGGTGCCCTTACCTTCAGAAGGAGTCACTGGCATGTTTAATAAGGACCTAAGGGGCCGAGAATATTTAATAAGGACCTAAGGGGGCAAGGAATTTAATAAAGACATAAGAGACCAGAAAAAGTGAGTAAGCAGCCGTTAAAAGTCAGGGTATGTGACACAGTGATCGTCTGTAAAGGACAGGGTATGTGACACAATGATAAAGGACAGGGTACGTGACACAGTGATAAAGGACAGGGTACGTGACACAGTGATAAAGGACAGGGTATGTGACACAATGATAAAGGACAGGGTATGTGACACAGTGATCGTCTGTAAAGGACAGGGTATGTGACACAGTGATAAAGGACAGGGTATGTGACACAGTGATAAAGGACAGGGTATGTGACACAGTGATCGTCTGTAAAGGACAGGGTATGTGACACAGCGATCGTCTGTAAAGGACAGGGTTCGTGACACAGTGATTCGTGACACAGTGATAAAGGACAGGGTATGTGACACAGTGATCATCTGTAAAGGACAGGGTATGTGACACAGTGATCGTCTGTAAAGGACAGGGTATTTGACACAGTGATAAAGGACAGGGTATGTGACAGTGATAAAGGACATGGTGTGTGACACAGTGATAAAGGACAGGGTACGTGACTCAGTGATAAAGGACAGGGTATGTGACACAGTGATAAAGGACAGGGTACGTGACACTGATAAAGGACAGGGTATGTGACACAGTGATAAAGGACAGGGTATGTGACACAGTGATCGTCTGTAAAGGACAGGGTATGTGACACAGTGATCGTCTGTAAAGGACAGGGTACGTGACACAGTGATAAAGGACAAGGTATGTGACAGTGATAAAGGACAGGGTATGTGACACAGTGATAAAAGACAGGGTATGTGACACAGTGATAAAGGACAGGGTATGTGACTCAGTGATAAAGGACAGGGTACGTGACACAGTGATAAAGGACAGGGTACGTGACACAGTGATAAAGGACAGGGTACGTGACACAGTGATAAAGGACAGGGTATGTGACACAGTGATAAAGGACACTTTATGTGACAGTGAGTGACTTTGCCTGACACATTGAGTGACTGCCTGACACAGTCTAAACAAAGATCCAACTTGTTCCAAATGAATGCACTTTGAAAATGTTAAACATTTTTTTCTTTTATTTTCCCCTTAACTCTGCCTATTTGACCACGTAAATGATATTTCTGATCATATTTGATATTCAGGTGTGGATTAGCTTGGTAATTCTGTAACATCACTAAATGATATTGAATCTATTGTTTTATCCAGCGTGTATAATAATCTCATCTACTAAAAGATTTAGTTACAACTAGCTGTAATACAGATTTAAGGGGTACAGCAAATGCCATGATTTAAAGTAGGCGGTTCCGGATGTTGTTTCCTTGTTCGGCTGGATACCCTTAGGTACGCAGGGCAGTTGTGTCTTAGATTGGATCAATACAAGGTAAACAAACACATCAGCTTTCGGGTATGTTTCTTCAATGTATTATGATCTTCATCGACATGTTTCGGAAGCTCTTGTGGTTGTTTACCCAGTATTGATGTTATACAAATACTCTTTGTCTTTTTCCTAAATGTTTTT